AATAAGCAAGGGAGGCTCCCGGGGGAGATGCAGGACCAGTTCAGATATCACCCGCCACTGATGTTAGCCATGGCCACAAATCGACCTCAAGTCGCCGGGTTCATCGCGTAGTGCGGCCGCCGCTGCGCCAGTGTGTGCTTGAGCGTGTGTGCACACACACATGCAAGCGTTGTTATTATCGACATTCGACGCTCTACATCACTGTTTATTTTCTCAATGCGCGGACCAAAACTGCCTCGCTCTCCAATTAGTGATGAGCGCCGCGGCGGTGTAGCCAGCATTTATAAAGAAGGGGCAAAAACATGTGAGGCTCGTGTTGGCACTGGGGTAATGCCAGGGACATTCTGTCTCACGAAGAGTGGGCTGTACTCGGGGAGATTTTAGGGGTGGGACCCCATGGCCAAATTTGGGGTCATGAAGACCTCCCTATTGGGTAGTGGGTGGCTACGCGTGGGTGGCTACGCGTGGGTGGCTACGTGTGTACGTGCGCACGCAAGTGCGGGATGCGCCCATCGCTACACTTGTCTGGCAATCCCCTGGAGAGTTCATCTTGTACTCAATAAAGTCAAAAAGCATTTCACTGTGAGCGAGTGCCCTGGGCACAAGTCAAACCTCAAAGCGTCTCCGTGCTCTCAGATGAGTATTTGTGCGGTGCTCATCTCCATTGGCAGCCCTGAGCCAGCGGTGGAAATTCCACATTACTTGAGCGGAGGCCACTTGCAGTTTTAAGAGCATCGCGACTTTGTCACATCATTCAATTTTACCCACCCAAGTTGAATCAATGCATGACTGGGATTTGAACCTTGCAACCTCTTCCCACTGTGAGCAAAGCATCCTGCTGCAGCACTACTTGGCCAGATACATCGATTACCAATCAAATGTTAAAGTGTCTCCATGGCTGCACTGAGCAATTTCATGTTCCTGAGCGGTGCTCCCTTGACACCACGACACAATACCCTTTGACTCATACAGTGCCCAAGTGCGACCGCACCTCGAGAAGCAAATACAGAGACATTGGGCAGAGTCAGTTTACAGGTTGAGGCGGTCCGTCATGGGCAGAGGGACACACAGGAAGGGATCTTGAGGCTCGACTGGAACAGGGGCAGGGTGTTGACAGCACGGACGGCGGGGTGAGGGGAGTTCCAGCAATGGCGACAGTGCAGGAGATTGAGCGACCTTCCTCCGAGCGGAGCGTGACCAGGGCGGGGCTCAGACAGCAAGCGACGGCTGCTCGAGCGGGAGAGTGGACAGAGTAAGGCGAGATGGATGGATGTTTGTATGTTGAACTTCGTTCGGAACAGTACGTAGCCAGACCGTGCTAACCTGAGTGCGGGTGGAAGGGTAATAAACTAAACACAAAAAGCAGAGATGAGAGGGCAGGGGTCAGAAGTAGGCAGGGGAGGCTCCAGATGGATGAGGCGCTACGGACTCCCAATCGGAATCTGGAACTTGCAACCCGGTGCTGAGTCGGGTGCTACCTGGCCAGATCCTCGAAAAATTACTTGGGAATTAAAAAGTTCACTGGGCAGCTAAGAAGGGGGGGGGGGGGGGGAGGGGTGCGCTTGGCAGGACGCGGCTGAAAAAAAAATTCCTGAGACTCCTTGAGGCCTTCCAGATAAACGAGTGGAAAAACAAACAAACAAACAAACAAATAAATAAATAACTAACATTAAGCACCGAGCTAATCCTGCTCGGGTCGTGCATGTTCTCAATTGAGACAAAACTTCACAGCGCTTCGCAATTCCAATGCTCGATGAAGAAGCCCTCCTGCACGCTGTGTCAGTCCTGGTCGCTGTTGGACCAAACTTCACCGCGTTGGTCACAGTGCGGTTTGATGGAGGGGCAGAGGCTCAGGACCCGTGGAGACATCACTCACCAGCGATGTTAGACGTGGCTGGGGTTCAACCTCGGAGAGCAGTGGGTTTCATTGCGCAGCGTGCTAACCACTATACCACTGCTTCACCCAGAGTAGGCCATAGTCCAATAGTCAAGCAGTCTCACCCTTCCAGAATATTATTACAAGATTAATCAAGAGAGATGTGGCCACAGCATAAAAAAAAAACACAATGGCCCTAAAATTCAAAACAAAAATATATGTATGTAGATATGTTATGTTTAGGCCGTTATAGTGGACAGGTGGAACGCCGTACCACAGTTGCGGAGGCTAAGAAGAGGGTGGTCGGTGGGCAGGGGCTCCGGCGTGGTTACGTCCAGCCCGGCCGCCGCGATCTCCCCCGACCTCAGGGCATCGTAAAGGTCATCTTGGTTCACGATGAGGCCCCTGGGGCAGACGAACAAAAACAAAAAAACTTTCCGCGGGAGCCAGAGCGGGGAAAAAACCAAGCACACGTGTTGGAAATATCAAAATTCCTCAGCCTTTTTTAAAGGGCTAAGTTAATTAGAAACAAAAACGCAAGGGGAGGATGCCTTTAATGGTGCAAATTGTACGTGCACGATCATCATCAGCATGATCAATCCCCTGCTGTATGAAGGGCTCCGCAAGTCTTAGCCATCTCTCCCATCCTGCGGTGTAATATGCACAGTTAAAACAATGACATCAATAGAGATTTGAAAGTGGCCTCTGTATCTAGAGCATAGCACTCACTCGTGTTTAAGCCTGGCCGGGTGGCGCTGTGGTCAAAGTACTTGACTGCAAGTTCAAATCCCGGTCTGTGGTCGACTCGATCATCATCCATCCGCGGCCAAAAAAAAAAAATGTACCACTTGGTAATGGGCATTGACAGCGGTTGCCTTAACGGACACTGGCTGCCTCCAACCACAGGAATGAGGAATTTACCACTGGCTCAGCATTGCCAACAGGAGACAAGAATTGCCCTATGGTTGTTTGTGCAGAGAGAGGCTTTGGGTTTCTTGTTGTGTCTAATGGAGAAACTAGGTAATGAATAGGGAGCCAGTATTACAAGTAGTCTTTCGCAACCAATATCATCCATTACAGGTTTTTTGGGTTAGATGTCGTAGTCAGATTGTAAATGTTGTGACTTTGCTCTCCAACACAACAGTGTGCTGTACTTGTACCAAATTGGCCACGTTCTGTTTACGTGACAAACCTTACTAGTTGGCTGTGTCGGGTAGTGGCGGGTTTAATGACACAGTTATATATTTAAGCGGGCTAACCCAATCAGCAGCCATAAAAATTATGTTTGAATCGGGGGGGGGGGGGGGGGGGAAACTCGAATGCACGCAGTAAGAATATTCACCGATGAATCATAAAACAAATAACTAAATTGCCACAACTGCCTTAAAACTTGTGCGGGGAATTATCAAAGTACATTTTTGGCTGCATAACAATGGAATGTGAAAGACCATTTTACGTCAAAAAGATCCCCCCTTTCGTGCAATAAGTGCGTGGTAAAAACTGTTAAAATAGGGAATGGCATGCACATGCATGGTTTCTGTAATGTTTTCCAACGTGTTTGTCCTCGAAAATATTCAGCCGTTTCTCGTAACGTCACGTTTCACGCTGCACAATGACGACATCAAACTGCGCACGACGCGGCGAGATGACGCCACGCGTCACGTGATGTCTTTCTTTCGGCACTGGATTTGCGGCTCCTTTTTAGCGCCGGCGTTCATTTTCATGTTTTTGGGCGACACAGCTCAATTTGGCCGGTTTTTTTAGCGGGAAAGTGCCTAATGGCAACACGACTTTGCACTCAGGTTTCGTGCTTATCGGATCATCGCTCCAATACAAATTGGCACGCACGGTTGGCTACGTACGGTGCGAACGAAAGCCAATGGACATACATCGTTACGAGCGTCATCGTGCCCGCCTGTTACAATCAAGGACAGATGCCACGAACGCTTTCAACCTCGGTCGAAAAGCCTCCCGAAAACTGTCTCGAAGGTTAATCAGGAGGCAGTGGAGGAAGTTACCGGCTGATGTGATGAACACGGCGGAGCGTTTCATGCGGGCGAACGCTTCGCGGCCGAAGAGCCCCCGCGTGGCGTCCGTGAGCGCGCAGCTCACCACCACGAAGTCGGCCTCCCGCAGCAGCTCCTGCAGCGGCACTGCGCGTGGCGGCAACGTCGGCACGTCCGGCAACAAGGAAAATAATCAAGGCCCGTCAGACGCAAACTAAAGTCACCCAGCAGGGCGGAGGTGCTGTGGTTAAAGCAATGCGAGCGCACATCTTGATCACGTGTCGGCCTATGACCACTTTATAGCGTCATAAGAATTACATTTGTCAAACCACTGCTGGATGTATGTTAGTTGAACTTCTTTCGCACCGTACGTAACCAATCGTGCTAATTCGAGGTGCGAGGGAAGGACAACAAACTAAATAGAAAAATCAGTTTTAAATGAGTTTTCAATCGAGATTTAAAAGTGCATAGCTCCAGTGGTTCCCAATATCGGG